GGCCAGGGGCCCTGCCCAGGGGCCGTGCTCCTCCTGACTCTGTGCTAGAATCCACACTCAGGCCTGAGCCCAGTGGCCAGGTCTGCGGGCCTCCAGGCCCCGTCCCAGGTGGGGCCAGGTGCTCAGGCCCCAGGAGCAGAGCAGAGGCGAGCAGGAGCCCCAGCGCCCTGCCCTCACGGTGGCCTGTCCCCGCAGCTGACGGCCAGCGAGGAGGAGTTCCTGCGCACCTACGCGGGCGTGGTCAGCAGCCAGCTCAGCCAGCTGCCTCCGCACTCCATCGACCAGGGTGAGTGCCCTGGCCCCAGCCCCACTGCCACTCCCCTCGGGCCGCCTCCAGGGTCTCCGCCTGCTTCACCCTGGGGGGCCCCTTAGAGGCCTGACGCCTGCCCACCCAGCAGAGGGGTGGAACCGCCTGGGTGCTTGGCCGGGCCTGGGCCTCACATGGCTGGGGTGGGCCTGGCAAGATCTGTGCCCACGAGGGTCCTGCGCCCTCGCCAGCCGCCAGGGTGGTAGCAGGAACAGTGAGTTGCCCGCAGGTGCTTTGCTCGGTCGCCTGGAGGGCTGCGGGCGGTGTTGTTTCTCTTAGTAGGGAAGGGAACTGGGCTTCAGAGCACGGGTCCTGCAGCCTGGCAGGCCGGGGGTGGGGGTGCCATCTGTCCTGGAAGGCTCACCTGATGCCACACCGGTCTCCTGACCAGCACCTCCATCTGGTCCTTCCTTCTGTTCTTCCTACTCTCAGTGGGATGGTTGGCCGGGGCGCTGGGTGGGGCGTGCCCAGGCGTGAGCGGCTCCGGGAAGCGGAGCGCCTGCCCACGGGCCTGCCTTGGGACCCGGCCGGGGAGAGGAACAGGTCTGTTCTGGCTGCTGGGCCGGAGGCGTCTTGTTCTGGCCAGCACGGGGCCTGCATCCCCAGCCCGCACCCTGGGCGCGACCCACCCGTGTGCCCAACTCAGCAGAAACGCGTGGGGCATCCCCAGGGCCGCTCCCTCTGCCACCTGTTTGTGCTCCTCACTGGAATGGGGATGGAGGAGCTGAGGGGCCTGCCCCGCCTTTGTGGAAGAAACCCCTTTCTCTTGCAGGACCCAGTGGGTTTCTGTCTCGGGTTCCGGGGTCGCAGCTGTGGGTCCTGAGTGGCTGGGCCGGCTCCTGTCTCCTGTAGAAGGCTCGATGGGAATCATCACCACAAGCCGTAGAACAGCACGTACACTCATGCGCCCGTGTCCGGGGCGGAGAGCCCACCTCAGGTTGGCAGAGCCAACCTCAGTGGACACGACAAGGTGGCGCAGATGCTGCCCAGGGGGCACAGGCACTGGACCACTGCTCCCAGCGCCCAGCATCAAAGACCCCAAAGACCAGGAGCCACTGGGGGGTGTTGGGCAGGACCAGGCCCAAAGCCTGGCCTGAGTGCCTCCTGCCACTAGGTGGCACCGTGTCTCAGCAAATGCCCCCTGCTCGCCCCGGGGAGGTTCTTACCCTGTGGTTCCAGCCCCAAGCTGCCCCACCCACCCATGGGTGAGCTGCTGGCCTGGGCTTTGTGGGGTCCTGACCCACACCTTTAGACCATAATGCTTCCCCTCCAGGGCTGCAGAGATCCAGTACTGGGGGCTGGGGAGGTGGATACTGGCTGCTCTCCCCAAGACCCAGGGAGAACTGGCCGGGCGTCCCTCACAGAGCTCCAGCCCGTGCCCAGGCCTCCCAGGCCCCGCCCTGTCCTCAGCAGAGGCCATGTCTGCTGGGTCCAGGCAGGCCGGGGCTCTGGTGGGGCCTGAACCTTAGGGACTCGCTAAGCAGTCTAGGGAGGGCCTCCTTGGGCTGCCCTCTCCTGGTTTTCAGGAGTGGTGAGACGCCCTTGACGGCGCCTTCCGGAAGCCTCCTGGGCTCTCACCCCACCTATTTTCTGTCTGTTCGCCTGGGGCCTTTGCTCTCTGCTCTCCGTCCGCCTCTGCGCCTCACCCCATACCGGCTCCTGGTCTGTCTCCATCACCTCTGAGCCCTGAGTTTGGGGTTTGTGGTTCCCTGCTCTTCGTGGGGCTGGCCCTGGGCCTCCTCCCCTGGATCTGACCGCTTGCCCTTGAGCTTGGTGGACCCGACAGCGAGGACAGGGCTGGAGGAGACCGGGGCCTGTCCGGAGGGCGTCCTGGCGGGCTGGTGGCCGAGGGCTGGCGCCTCCCTCGTCAGCGCCCGGGCACTGGCTTCTCAGGCACGGCCACCACCGCGCGGGGTGGGGTGGGGGCGCAGGGTGGCGTCTGCTGTGCGGCTGAGGACACGGCTGACCTTCGTCAGCCTCTTAGAGGCGGGCGAGGACTCCCCTCCTAGGCCAGAGCCACCGTAGAAACATTTTAGTGCCCATTTTAACAGTCGTCACCCAGGCCCCGCGCGCCCAGGCCCCGCGCCCGCCGAGCTCAGCCGACCTCCCTCTGTCTCGGGCTGCTCTGGGGGGCTCCTGGTCGGTGGGGCCCAGGGGTTCCCAGTCTCACAGGAGTGCTCCGGGAGGGGGGTGCCCTGCCCCACTTCCAAAATGAAGAGCTGGTCTGGAGACCCCGAGATGTGGCCACAGCCCGGAGCTGGCGGGTGTGGCCCGGGGATGCAGAGGTCAAGCACCCTCTGTCCGAATCCATCTCACTTATTGTGAGAAAAATTCCAGGAGCGGCCCAGGCCGCAAGTCTTAGGCAGGACAGCATTTTGCCTGGTGTGGCCATTCTGGGGGTGCACAGCGAGTGGGGGGAGCGTTTGCCGCTGCTGTCCTGAGCCCCTCCCCACAGGGCCTTTGCACTTGCTGGCTGCCTGAGACCCAGCACCGTGAAGAGGGCGTCGTACCAGGCAGAGCGGGGTGTTACGGACCCAGGCATGCGGATAGAGGGCGCCTTCTCGGGCGCTCTGGCTTCCCCGGGCCTCCAAGGGGCCGTTACACCTGAGTAGTTGGCGGCCAGCTGCCGGGAGCGGGGAGGCCGGGGGCTGCAGCCAGGGGGCTGTGGCCTCCGAGCCGCCGCGAGCCTTCACGCTTTCCGGGCTCCCTGGCGTGCTCCCTGGGTCTGCTCACGGGGCCCCACTGCACAGGCTCTGCCACGCTTACACGCTGCCTCTCTGCTCAGGCATGCCCACCTGCGCACGCCCACACCTGAGCAGGTGCCCGCCACCAGTGTCAGCCACAGATGCTGATGGCGGAGGGCGGAAGAGGCCTGCTCACTTCCATCTACCCTACAGGGTGGCAGTTCCGGTTCCCAAGGCGCTCGGCAAAGGCTTCTCCGTCGCCTTGCACGCGAGGCCCCCTGCTCCCCTGTGAGGCCCCAGGCGCCCCAGGCTGGCAGGGACGAGGGACCCAGCCCTGGTTAAGGAAGCTGCCTTGCCCAGGCCCCAGGGAACCCCCTGGCCTGGGCTGGCCTCTGCAGGCCTCTGGCCACGCCCTCCCTCCAGGACATTTGCAGCAGGGTCCCAGCTTGGCAGCAGCTGGCGCTGCTGACTTGGGGCAATCTGACTACGCCCCTTGGCCTTGGCCTCAGGTGACTGGGAACCTTGTGAAACTGGTCACGGCAGCCTCGGCCTGCCAGCCCCACACTGAAGCAGGCGCTCCCTCTGGGCGTCACCCCACTTGACCCTCCAGGCGCTGGGGGTGCTGGCATGATGGTGTCCCTTTGCAGCCAAGAGCGATGGAGCATTTTCCTGGAATCCTCTCCCACACCCTGCAGGCTCTGCCCTCACCGCCCCTCCCCCCCCACCCTCTGGGGCGGCCTGGGCGCCTCTGGGGAGCTGAGGCTCCAGCACCCCCAGGGGCTAGTTGGGGCTCTGCTAAGACAAGCCTTGGGGAGGTTGGGCCCAGAAAAGGCACCTCCTCTGTTGGGGGTCCCGTGCTGGCTGCTGGGGTGCTGGGCCCCTCTCCCCGGGGCAGGGGGTGCGCTGAGGCCTCCCAGGGGCTTCAGGCAGTGAGTGACAAGCTGGACCGGAATGGCAGCCAGCTGGGAGAACCCCTGTACGGGGGCGGGGAGCTAATCTTTTTCCTTTTTTTTAAATAACACAATAGTTTATTTTTACATCATTTTGTGCCTTTTTCCATCTCAGTGGCAATCCCCGTGGCTTCTTCAGTTTTAATCAACACTTAGATGAGAATTACCTGTAACCTAATAATGATAAAATTGAATCAAGTATCATGGGTACTTTGAGTCAAACTGAAAAACCAACCGTGAGGCTTTGGTGTTTGGTGTCGCAGAAGAGAAGGCCCAGGACAGGGAAGGAGCCAGGCCGGATGCCCCCAACCCCTCGTGCCACTGAGGCCAACCCTCCCATGGTGTGGGGCCGACCTGGGGTGAGGGGAGAGCTTGCGGGGCACCGGAGGAGCTGCCTGCCCAGTGCCCAGCCTGGGCACAGAGGCCCGGTCACTCTGAGCCAAGGGGCAGCGCCTAGAAAGCCAGGGTGAGGCGCTGCTGGCACTGGGCCCTGAGGGCACGCGAAGGAGGCTGCCAGGGCTGGGGGGTGGGCCTCGGCCCCTCGGGGTCTGCGGTGGGGGCTGCTGGCCCTGTGGCTTCATCCTGGAGGCCGCAGGGGCCCGGCCCGGTGGGCAGGATGGCCTCCTCCCTGCCGCCTGCCCAAGGCACCTCCTGGGAGGCACAGGCACAGGAGGTTGTCTAGCGCAGACACTGAGGTCTCACAGCCGGGCATTTTGGGCTGAGAAAGCCGGTGCATGGGCCGCCTGGCCTGGCATCCCATGGAGGCAGGGCTGCTGTCCGTGGGTGGTGGGCGGGGCTCGGGGGGGGTGGAACCAGGTCAGAGCTCAGGCCCAGGGTCCCAGGGAGGGTAAGATGGCTCAGACTTGCACTGAGTCCCCATACCCTGTCCCCACACACCCCGGGACAGCAGGCAGAGTGAGGGGACACCGCCAGGACAGCAGAGGGGACGGGGCACTCTGGGCAGTCAGAGGCTGCAGGGCCGGAGGGGACACGGGTCGCTCTGGGCAGTCAGAGGCTGCAGGCCACTTGCGGGCTTCCCTGGGCTTGTAAAGGATCGGCAGGCGGTGACTTTTCTCGAAAGGGTTTCTGCAGAGCCCGGGCTGGAAGCCAGGGTCACAGTGGGAGGGGTAGGAGGAAGTGGAGGCAGGACAGAGGGCTCTTTGAGAATGCTGGCAGAGAAGGGGCGACGGCTGGAGGTGGGGTGAGCGCTCAGCGCGGCCACAGACACCCTCACCCGAGTCCCCAAGGGCGCTTGCTGCAGTGCAGACCCCAGGCCCTCCCTGCTGCTCCCTCAGAAGCCGGCCCAGCACGCCTGGGAATCCGCATGAGACAGCCCCTGGGGGTG